AAAAGATCTAAATATTAAAACAAAAACACTAAATCTGCTAGAAGATACAATAGGTAGAACTCTTGAAAACATTGGTGTAGACAAAGACTTTAAGAACAAAACCCCAATCACTCAGGAAATATCACAAAGAATCAAGAACCAGCATCTCATCTTTAAAATGCTTTTTGCACAGCAGAAGAAACCACCAACAGAGTGAAGAGACAACCCACAGGGTGGGAAAAATTTTTTGCCAGCTGTTCCTCTGACAATGGACTAAAATCTAGAATATATAAAGTACTCAAAACAATCAGACCTTCCAAATATAAAGACTCAATCCAAAAATGGGTATCTGAAATCAATACACTACTCAGATGAAGAAGTTGAAATGGGAAGTAAATATATGAAAAAATGTTCAATATCACTGGTCATTTGAGAGATGCAAATGAAAACAATGCTAAGATTACATCTCACTACAGAAAGAATGGTTTTATCAAGAAATCAACTAATAACAAATGCTGGCAGGGCTCTGGAGAAGACGGAACCTGTTCAGAGTATAAACTGGAGCAACCACTGTGGAAATCTGTGTGGCAATTCCTCACAAAACTACAACCAGAGGTTCCATTTGACCCAGCTATTCCACTTCTTGGTACCTTCCTGAAAGAATCAAAAGCATCATACCACAGTGATACATGCACACCCATGTTTACAGTGACACGGTTTTTAATAGCTAAATCTTCGAAACAGCTCAAATGCCCATCAACCTATGAATGGATAAAAATGTGTTTTTTTATGCAATGGAATACGACTCTGCCATGAAGAAGGATTAGCTTGAGACATTTCTAGCTAAATGGATGCACCCTGAGACCATACTCTTAAATGAAAGAAATTGGACACATATGTGTAAATAGCACATTGTTTCTCTGGTGTGAGAAACCGAAAGTGTAAATAAGGACAAAAATCTATAACAGATATTGGGAAATGGGAAAAAAATGTTCAAATGGGAAGGAGAACTAGGCAGGGGCAAGGGAGAAAGGAAGGAAGGGACAAGAAAAAAAAGAAACTAGAAGTAAAAAATATGGAAACAAAGTTTTTGTAGATAAGGAGGGGAAGAGGGGTTGAAGGGTGAGGAGAGGAATGGGAAAAAAAGAAGATATAGGGCTGGGGATTTAGCTCAGTGGTTTCACTGCCTGCTGCGCAAGCACAAGGACCCAAGTTTGATCCCCAGTACCAAAAACAAACAACAACAATAAAAAAATTCAAAAAGGAAGGAAGAGGACCAAGAGCTGGAGGGAGGGGTGAAGGAGGAGGGGGGGGGTAATTAAAAAGAATTAATATGTTATTAACATGTGCTATATACATGCACCCACTCCCCATGATGCATGTAATCATTATGTGCTGCAAACATGTACTGATAAAAATAAATTTTTAAAAAATTATCAGTCTTTTGACTTTAATGTAGGTATGCAAAAATGGTATTTTAAATTTTCTCAGATTAATATTCAAATTAGCAGGCACATGCCTGTAATTCCAGTACTCAGAAGGCTAAGGCAGAAGGATCACTATGAGTTTGAGGCCAGCCTGAGCTATGTAGTGAGTTCAGGGCCAGCCTGAGCTACATAGTGAGATCCTGTCTCAAAAAACCAATCCAATTAGCATGAGTGCTCTCTGAACACTCGCATTACTGGAATAAGGGCCAATATTGATGTATACAATGGAGAAAAACATTTAGATTTGCTGTGGTTCATCTATATGTGCAAACAAATTTTGGTCTAGTGTTATAAAAATGGCAAAATAAAATACAATGAAGCAGTGAATCCATATATCCCACATAAGTAAGCATGAAGGACATCCTAGCTTCTTAGTAGGTCTGACTCACCTGGACGAATGTGATAGCTTGTTGTGGGTAATAAATGGAGGCCGCTAATCCCATGAAAACAGGTGGATACACCAGCTTCTTTATTTTTGAACCTAGTAAATAAAAGGTTGTACACCATCATAACTGACCTTTTTTACATTCAATAGTGAAACACCACTTTTCACAGCCTTAATGAGATATAATTCATACAACTCACCCATTTAAAGTACAAAATTCAGTGGCTTTTAGTATACTCACAGAGTTGTGTCACCATCACTACAATCAATTTTTATCATCCTAAGAAGGAAACCTCAAGGGTTTGAGCTGAGAATGCAGCTCAGTGATAGAGCATGTGCTCAGCGTGTATGAAGCCCTGGGTTCCATACCTAGCATGGAGAAGGGAAAGGGAAGGGAAAGGAAAGGGGGAAGGGGGAAGGGGAAGGGGAAAGGGGAAGGGAAAGGAAAGGAAAGACACCAAGACCCAATGCCAGTCACTCCTCCATTCCCCCAGGCCCCCAGCCCTAGGCCACCAGAAATCCACTTTTTATGCATTTGCCTACTCTGGACACTTCATATAAATGGAATCATGAAACATGTGATACTTTATAACTGCCTTCCTTCACCAGCAAATGTTTCCAAGAGAACCACCCTTTCTAAGGAAGCAGAAAAATAAGACTGTTTTGAAAAGAAGCAAACTGGTATTTTGATTTCCAAGGGTTTTTTTCTGTAACAGCAAACGAGCTTCTTATATAAATACTAAAAACAATTGTTCCTTTAGTCTCCTTCCTGAGAAGTCATTAAAATAACAGTAAAAAATAAAATACTGATTAATGAACCCACAATGAAGAGAAAAAGTGTGGAGGGGCCACTGGCAGATAAGAAGTGTCAGCCAGGGTTGGACAAGGTCCTGGGTTCAATCCTCAGCATCACAAAAAGAAAAGAAAAAAATGTCAACCAATTTTCAGGAAATGGAGAATGCATGGAGAGAAGAGGCCAAGCAGCCTTGAAGTGTTGAAGGAAAGCTGCAGGCCAGGAGGGAGCAGATCTGTCCCAGGCAGAGGTGGCTCGTATTGTTGGGAGTGGAGATGGCAACCAGGGGTCAAGGCAAGGGGACAAGACATGACCTGGACATGGACCAGCTGACACATTCCTTCCCCCATGCCACCCCAAGGTCAGAAAGCCATGTCAGGCTGAATTTTTAAAAGTGGGCTGGATATCACTAAAGAAATGCCCTGGGATTTCTGATGAGAACAAGAGCGTTCTGTATGTGCGTGTGTGCATGAGTCTGAGAATGAAGCCCTTCTTGTGTCCCCATCTAAGATCAGCTCCCTGGCAGTCACCCTGAGCAAGAATCTCCTGTCAGCAATCCGGCTCCGCACAGAGTCCTTCTTAGCATTTCAACTGCCTCACTCTGAACTGTGACCTGACAGTGAGGATCAGGGCACTGAAGGGAAGCCTGCAACATAAAAGGGAAAGACCAAGGCAAGCAAGAAAACATGAACTTCAAAACAAAATAAACCTGTTATTAAGCAGCTCCACGGAAATCAAGAAGCTACTGCATTAAAAGGAAAGAGTTCTAGGAAAAAAAGGATATTCAGAGAATAAGAAAGAGTGTATGAAAATGACCAAAATAGAAAAAAAATCCAAAAGGAATAAAATAAAATAATTAAGAAAATATGAGACATTTAGGGTCATTTTTAAGCAACCTCACTGCTAATTAATATGAGTGCAGGAAGGAAAAATGAAGAGAGTAAATTTTCAAAGAAATACCAGATGGATACAATCCTTCAGCTGAAGGCTACAAGCCATCAAAGTGCACAAGCAAGGAGTGAAAACATCTAAATTTCATCACAGCACCATGGAAACTCAAAAGATTAAAGATTACGATCCTCAAAGCTTCAAGGAAGTTTTAAAAAATCATTTCAGAACCAACAAGCACCCAGACTGGCTACTGACCCTCTGCTCTGTGACGCTGGACGCCAGAGGGCACAGCTTTTAATGTCTGGATGGAGGACAAATTCTCTCACTACTCGAGCTATCACTGGAGGACGCAAAGCTCTTGGAAAGCTTGTCTCCAGCACAAGCTGCTCTGACAGCCTAACAACATGCAGAGCGAACCAAGGAGAAGACGACAGGGGGCCAAGAGAGGAGCCAAGCCCCAAGACAACAGCTGTGCTGAAGTCTCAGGCCAGGCTGCAGGAGGATGGAGCTGTGGGGGAGAAGAGTTTGCAGAAACCTGAGCAAGAGGGTGCAAACAACTAGTAGAGAGTGAAATAGGAGAATGCAGGGGTTCTCACACTAGAAACAAGCTCTGCTGTGAGGCATGGTGCTCTGGACCGGGACCGTATGGGTGTTAGTGCAATGTATGTAATAATCACATCTGACAATGTAAGTGCTGTGATTGGAGTTATATTATTATTATTATTATTTATGATGATGATGATGATGATGATGATGATGATGCGGTACTAGGGACTGAAGACAGGGCCTCCACACTGAGCTATATTCCCTGCCCTTTTTTAATTTTAATTTTTATTTTTGAGACAAGATCTCACTAAATTGCTCAGGCTGGGCTTGGACTTGTGATCCTCCTGCCTCAGCCTCCCAGAGTGCTGGGATTACAGGCCTGCAACACCTCATCTGGCTAAATTTTATTTTTATTTAAAAAGATTTTTTTTGTGGTGCTAAAGATCCACCCCAGGGCCTTGCATGGTAGGAAGCACTCTACCACTGAGCTATATGCCCAGCCCATGGTAAATAAATCCCCAAAGATGAAACCAGGGCTCCTGAGAAGACACATGGTATCGACCAAGACCCATGAATACACTAATATTTCTCTCATGGTCCTATTGCCAGCACTGAAAAGCATGATTCTCCTAGAAACGCCCGTTGCCCAGGGCCTGCCTGGTCCCCTGGAAGCTCTGAGCACCAGGGCACTTTCTAGCCCTCTAAGACGAGCTGATAGCTCTGGGGCCTCCGGCGCTGCTGCCCCACACAGTGAGGAGCGGGGCCTAGACTCCCCCAGAAGGAGGTGTGATCACAGGTCTGCACCCATCTTTCCGCCACATCTCCCAAGAAGCCAGGGGTGTAGGCTGTGACTTCTAGCACTGGCAGAGGGGACTCACCGGTTGTCAGGGCTGAGGACAGCACCAGAAAGCGGTGGTGACAAGAGCCACCTTGCTGGCAGCCTCCCATCACATCACCAGCATAGTCAGTTGGGCCATCCTCATTAGTACTTGGCAGATGCACTTGACAAGTGCTACCATGAGGGACCTTTGGCCTGTCCTGCTGCTCCCTGGAAGGACCTCAAACTCTTTGGAGCTCATCAGCAGACCTACCACCCCACTTGCTAGCTCTGGGAAACTCTCCAATACGACTCACCTCAGAGCCCCTGGGAAAAGACTTGCTGTGGCCTACATGTGCCTAAGAGTGTGCATGTCCAGCCAGGCGGGTGGTGCACGCCTGTAATCCCAGCACTCTGGGATGCTGAAGCAGAAGCACCACAAATCTGAACCCAGCCTAGGTAACAACGTGACTTAGCAAAACCTTGTCTCTAAATAAATACAAAAAATGCTGGGGATGTAGACTTAGTGCTCAGGCCCTGGGCTCAGTCCCCTGTACTGCCCACCCCCAAAAGCCCTGGGGAGGGAGGGTGGCTATGAGAAAATGTTGGTTCATAAACTGACTACTAAAACTGAACCAAAAATTTAATTATCAGTATTCTGCTCAAGATAGGAGGAGGACATAGAAACGACAAGGTGAGTTCATTCCACAAGCGAGCCAAGGTGAGTTCATTCCACAAGCGAGCTGAGAGGGGCACGAGGCAATGTTCGCCCTCTACATTCCACATTCTTTCTTTTTTTGAGATAGACTCTCACTATGTAGCTCAGGCTGGCCTCGAACTCATGGCAATCCTGCCTCAGCCTCCCAAGTGCTGGGACTACAGGTATGCACCACCATGCCCAGCTCGCCCTCCACATCCTAAAATAACACTTGATCCATCAGGTGGGAGGAGTTCTAAAGGAATAGGTATCAAACTATGGTTCTTTTTTTTGTTTTTTTGTACTGTGGATCAAACTCGGGGCCTTGCACTTGCAAGACAGGCACTGGAACCACTGAGCCAAATCCCCATCCGCTATGGTTCTTTAGATCAGATTACAGGGTTCTTTAAAGGAATTTCTCTGATAGGAATTTTTGTAACATCTGAATTTTATACCATAAACATTTATTTCATAATTAGTGAAACTTCAAATACCTATAGTTCATAAAAAATTAATGTCATCATAGTGAGGTCTTTTTCTTTCCTATAAATGTTTTGCAACCTAGCAGTAAGAGTCTAGTAGAGTGTGTGTGTGTGTGTGTGTGTGTGTGTGTGTGTGTGTGTGTCAGGGGGCGCTGGGGCTCAAACTCAAGGCTTCATGTTGCTAGGCAAGCACTCTACCACTGAGCTACACTCCCAACCCTACAGTGATACATTTATTGCTTTTCTAGTAATAAATTCACTCACTATTTTTGTTTTTTGGGATGGGGTCTTGCCATGTAGCCTAGGCTGGCCTTGAACTCATGATCCTCCTGCCTCAGCCTCCCAAGCACTGGAGGCATGCACCACCAACCTGACTTTATTAGCTTTAAAATCTAAGCATTTCAAAAGTTTTTCCCCCCCGTACCAGGGATCGAACTCAGGACCTTGTGTTTGCAAGGCAGGCACAGTACCACTGAGCTAAATCCCCAGCCCATTTCAAAAGTTTTTACACTACCACTGAACTAAGCTATCACACATCAAGAAGTTAATAAATTCTGTATTAAATCACTATTTATTATTTACTCTGACTCACAGCCTGAAACATTTAGAAACAGTTTATTTCTCAAGTGTAAAAGACTTTGAACAAAAGTTTACTCTTTCTGTACCAAAGAGCAATGGGGATTTAAAGAAGTAAATGTGCTATTAAGGATGACTAATTTCTTTTTTTTTTACCAACAGTATACAATTTCTATACGTGTGTAGAGACAAATCTAATGGAGTAAATAGCCATACTAATTATGTATTAAGAAGACCATATCCAGGAAGCAATATATTATTGTGAAACTGTTAAATAAGAGTAAAGAACCAAACAGACACCTGATCTCTCCACATGCACTGACTATTAAAAAGAACCTATAAAACCACACGCACCTCTAGTGAAAACAAGTCCAACAAGGCCAGCAAAACCAATAACACCAAGTCTTGGAAAAAAACCTGGGGGAGCATTTTGGAGATATTCATAGCCGTCTGTAAGAGAATCAGATAAGGAAATCGGATGAGTTCCATAAACAATTCATTAAAAACAAAAAAGTATATACTATATAGTATCAAATACTTTTCAAGCCATGTATTCTTTACTTTCTGCTAATATGCTCTTTTCAACACATTCTTTCAATAACCAAATACATTATCCTCAGAAAAATAAGTATCCTCTGCCATCTGAACTCATTATATGAACACAAAAACAATAAATTTGGCTAAAGAAGGAAACTTGTAGTACAAGTTTATGTGGGAAATGGACATTGTCGATAATGACAGACTAAAAATAGGCATGGTGGTGCACACCTGTAATCCCAGCACTCAGGAGACTGAGGCAGGAGGATCCCTGTGAGTTCAAGGCCAGCCTGGGCTACATAGTGAGTTCAAGGCCAGCCTCAACTACAGTGAGATCCTGTCTCAAAAATCAATCAATGGGTTAATGACAGACTAAAACTAGGCATGGTGGTGCACACCTGTAATCCCAGCACTCAGGAGACTGAGGCAGGAGGATCGCTGTGAGTTCAAGGCCAGCCTGGGCTACATAGTGAGTTCAAGGCCAGCCTCAACTACAGTGAGATCCTGTCTCAAAAATCAATCAATGGGTCAGGGATTGAGCTCAGTAGTTCCTGCGTCTGCCTTGCAAGCACAAGGTCCAGAGTTCAATCCCCAGTACCAAAAAAAAAAAAATTAAAAAAAAAATCAATCAACAACATGAGTGCATTCACCATGCCTCAGCATGCCTTGTGACCCCATTCGCATGATGCCTCTTCCCCCCTTCCCTCTCTTCCCCTTTCTTCCCTTCCCCTCCTTTCCACTGAGCCAATCTCACCAAATAAGAGCCAGCTTGGGCTCTATCTCCTCAGGAAAGCTCTTCCTAAGCTCATCAGCTAGACCTGCCCTCCTCCCCTAAAGTTCCATCAGTACCGTTACTTGATACCTAACCCTAGAGCACTTTGTAGTTAATTATTCAGTGTGTGTGTCTATATTTGGTACTAGGGATCAAACCCAGGTGTGCTCTACCACTGAGCCCCAGCCCCAGCCTTTTAATTTAATTTTTTGAGACAGGGGCTCACTAAGTTGCCCAGGTAGGACTTGAACTTGCAGTCCTCCTGCCTCGGCCTCCCACAGTGCTGAGATTGCAGGTGTGTACCATAACTGGCTCAGGTGTGTGTTTTATGTCTCCCGATGGAGAACACCAGCTCCTTAATGATGGGATGCCGAGACTTACATGTGATCTTCCCACAGTGGGTGTGTTGGAGGAGTCCAACACCCAAACCCATGTCGTCCCTCTAAGCCTGACCACATTGTACCTGCTGTGTGCAATGCCACTTACGGTCGCACCCCCGCAATGTGGTGTGGCTAACACCGCCGCTCCCTGATTCAGCTCAGAAACCCTTTCCAGATGCTCCCATCTCCCCAGTCTCTATTCAATTTCTTCTGTACCTTTAGTAGTGGTCTGTGATTGTCTCTGTATTTGCACTAGTGTTTTTTTGTTTTTTTGTTTTTTTACATAGGATCTCGCTGGCCTTCAACTCACTGTGTAGCCCAGGCTGGCCTCAAACTCACAGTGATCCTCCTGCCTCAGCCTGCTGAGTTCTGAAATTACAGGCATGCAACCCTACACCCAGCTTAGTATTTTTGTTTTTGAGACAGTCTCACTGTGTAGCACAGGCTGGCCTTGAACTTACTACATAGCCCAGCCTGGTCCTGAACTTGGAGCAATCCTCCTGTCTCAGCCTCCTGAGTGCTGGGATTACAAGTGTGTGCCACCATGCCTGGCTCACTTGACCTAGTATTGAATAATTCATTTCATGTATCTCAATGGTTGTGATCACTGTTAGTCAACCTTGATCTTCAATATGTGGCATGATGGTGACTTAATTTATGTATGCTGAACTGAACTAATAAACTGGACTATGCAGTAATCCTCTCCTCCAGGTAATACCACAGTGTCTCTATTTTCTACTCCTGGTTTTTTTGGGGGGGAAATGTGATCATTTTACATACTACTCTAGGGCTAGTGTTTTGTTTGCACTAATTCCCATCTGGTCTTTTACTTCTTTTGCCTTTAACCTAGTTTCTACTTTCCACCCTCTCGTCTGGGTTATCTGAGGCAACTGTCGACTTCTCTTTATTTCTGCCTAACTGCAAGCACAGCATTGCGCAATTCTAGACAGGCACACACAGCAGTGGTGGGAGATTAGGAGATCGCAGATGGCTATGGTGAGCAGAGCCAATGTGGTCATCACAAAGCAAAGGAAAAGATGCTATTTCGAGACTGCACTGGATGCTGAAGCCCAGCTTCTACTTGGTTGCCTGAGTGCTGACTGCTGGGAACAGTTTCATTGCCTTGGTGTTATGGCTTGTGTTTGGACGTCCCCCCAAAGCCTCAGGCAGTCATAGTGGGGCATTTCAGAGGTTTCTTGATCTAGGGTGTGTGATGCTGGGATTCAGGTTGTGTGATTACTAAATTAGGGCTGGGGATTAAGCTCAGTGGTTCCGCCACCTGCCTCGCAAGCCCAAGGTCCTGAGTTTGATCCCCGATACCAAAACAAACAAACAAACAAACAAAACCCTAAATTAGTCCACTGATTGGTTTGGTATGGTTCTGGGTGTGGATAATGGGAAGGCCCACCATGGGTATGGGTGGCACTACCCAAAGGGCAAGTAGCCTGGAAGGGATAAAAGGGAGAGGCAGGCTGCTGCTGCTGCTTCCTTGCTACTTCGCTGCTTTGCTGCCCTCCTGCCTTCTGCCTGCCATGGACTGTTTCTCTTCTGTGACGCCCCTCTGCCATACCATCCTGCCTTGGAGCCAGCTGACTATAGACTGAAACCTCTACAAACTGTGAGCCAAAATAAACCTTTCTTGCTTTAACTTTGGGTGCAGGGTATTCTGTCTCAGCAAGGAAAAAAGTAACTAAGACACTTGGTGACAACAATACACCTCATCATGGAAAGCTTCTGTTTGTGCCTGCAGTAACTCTAGGTCCAGGAGAAGAAGAAAAGAACAAGCCAATACTGTCAACACCACCTACTACTGCAATCAATGGGAAATGACATGTGACAATGGAGACCTCCACAGTCACAAAATTTGTTCCATCATGAAAATGAACCCTTGTAAAAATTAGATTTCCACTCATTACCATGTCCAATAAGGGGAATAAAGTGTGATTTGGTATCTCTATTAACTTACAAGTTAATAGACCTGACCAAGATTAGTCCAAATAGAAGACTGTCAACTCAGTTTATGAATGCATATGATAAGCAGCCCACAGGGGAGAAACAATCAAGGACAATAAAAACTATGTGAGCCAGGTATGGTGCCACACACCTGTAATCCCAACTACCTGGGAAGCTGAGGCAGGAAGGTTACAAATTCAAGGCTAGCCCACACAACTTGGTGAGACCCTCTCTCCAAATAAAAATACTGTACAAGAAAGGGTTGCTCCCTGGGTCTAATTCCCAGTACCATCAAAAAAAGAAAAGAAAAGAATAGAAAAGAAAAGAAGGAAGGAAGGAAGGAAGGAAGGAAGGAAGGAAGGAAGGAAGGAAAGTGGGAACACTACTAATTGTGCAACAGGACTTTTCTCAGACACATTGGATCAGTTCTTTTCTGCCCCTAAACTTCTATAGCAGTGATGGAGAACCTTTTAGAGATGAGTGCCCAAACTGCAACCCAAAACCCACTTATTTATTGCAAAGCGCCAACACTGCAATTAAACCTGAATACTGAGGTTTCAGTTTAGAAAAAACAACTCATACATTAACATCTTTTTTTTAAAAGAAAAACACAATAAAAAATAAGAACCAAGATACATCATGTAAAGGTACAAGATCCGAATGATGAATGTAACTGTATTGTATACCTAAAATGTACCAATACACTTAATGAAAAAAAAAACCACAATAACATGCGTGCCATAGGTTCAACACCACTGTTCTATAGTATGTAATATAGCAGTGCAAATGAGCTATTGTGAAAATCTATTGATAAATTAGTGTGCTGCACTACAATAAACCTGGAAATTGATTTTTTAAAAAAAAATCCAGTGTGGGCCGGGGATTTAGATCAGTGGCACCATGCCTGCCTGGCAAGTGCAAGGTCCTGAGTTAGATCCCCGGTACAAAAAAAAAAAAATCCAGTGTATCTTGCCTGAACTACACAGCAAAGCCTTGTCTCCAAAAATAAATAAATAAATAAAATAAAAAATAAAACCCAGTGTACCTGTGCTTGCTCACCCAACAATCCTAATCATGTTGAATACACTTAGAAGATGCTAGTCCACTGAAATCTGATGAAAACAAGAGATATTCTTTACAGAAAAATCCACATAGTTCTAAAATTGTGAGTACAAACCAGGTGTGCTGGTGCACACCTATAATCCCAGCACTCAGGAGGCTGAGGCAGGAAAATTCCTGTGAGTTCGAGGTGAGCCTGGGCTATACAGTGAGTTTAGGGCCAGCCTGAACTATACAGTGAGACTCTGTCAAAAAACAAAATAAGGGCCAGGGATTTAGCTCAGTGGCACAGCGCCTGCCTCGCAAGCATGAGGTCCTGAGTTCAATCCCTGATACAAATAAATAAATAAATAAATAAATAAAACAATGTGATTACAATTCTAAGGAATCCACAGATCTACCGTCTTTCATGCAACCCCAGTCAAACAGTTCAATGTTAATCAAATAACTGATTTGCCTAATTAAAAATCAACTTACCTAATCCCCATTGAACCAAACTTTGCATCTTGGGTTTAGTTTGGGAATACGTTTCCTAAAATGGTAAAAAGTGAAATACGTAGAATTTGCTGGTTAGAAAGTAACAGAATGAACATACTCATCTTTATGGAACAATCAGGTTACAAACACACATTGTTGCTTGGCTGCTGGTCTTCTGACCCCAGCCTGAGCAGGCTAAGCATGCATTCCACCATTGAGCTGCACCCCAGCTAGGAGCAGTTCTGAACAAAGGGATGTATTTTCTCTGTTTTGTTGGTCTGGCTTCTTTTTCTTTTGTAATTTCCCCTTCACTGCAAAGTGCTCAGCAGAGTGGCTTCCTATTGCCACAGGATGCAAAGACCCCCGAGAGCAGAGCAGTTTCAGCAGCCCTGCCTTCTCACTCTTCTCTTCAAATGGAAAGAACCAGACTCAGACTCAATCCCCTTCTAATTACAGGCCAAGCTTCTTCTCAGGAGATTAGATCTTTTAGATGAAGTCCAGCTCCTGTCTGCTACTATGTCACAGTGACATCTGGAAAGTGGCCATTTGAAGCAGGAATGACCAGCTTTCATGGGACTAAGCGGTCAGTAACTCCATTTGGGGGAGCAGCCCCAATCGGAAGCAAATGGAGTAGCGATCTTCTCTTGAGAATGACAATTTTAAAAGGTTTTGTACATGAACACCAGATGATCCCAAAGGAAATGAAGCACTAGCTAGATGGTACCCGCCTTCAAGAACAATACAGTGAAGACAGAAAAAGATACAGAGGTACCTGAACTAGCTGCCACTTGGAAAAGGATTTATTTGATGTATTTCAGTTCAAGTCAGAATACATTATCTTCATGCTAAATCTGGGAGAGGACACAAAGAACTTAACATTGCTTCATTAAAATTCATTATTGTTTTTTTCACCCATTAAAAAAGAATAAAAACCTACAGATTGAAATCTAGAGTGTCAGCTCACTCTTTAGCTAGTTTCATCATTTTAATATTAAAATAATAAATTAGTTGTTCAGGAAAGGACTAGAAGCTGGGCATAGTGGCACATGCCTGTAATCCCACAACTCTGGAGGCTGGGGCAGGAGGATTGCTTTGCATTCAAGCCCAGCCTGAACTATATAGCAAGACCTTGTCTCAAAAAAAAAGGACTAAAAATTGCTGGTCTGAAAAAGGAGCCAGGAATCAGAAAGATTTCTATTCATGAAAACTTTGCTCCACCCAGGGAAATAAAACCATCATAATTATAAGAAAGCTTTTTTAATGTAGAAGTAGTACAAATAAACATGTCAATAACTAATTTACTGTCCAAAGAGGTATTTTGTTGCACTATCGTGCACAAAAGGAAAAATATAAAACAAACTCTTAGGTTGAAAGGTAAAGAGACAAAATACTTTTATTACAAAAAAATCAGACTGGGGGGGGGTGGCTCAGGATAAAGCACATGCTTAGCAAGTGTAAGGCCCTGGGTTCCTTTGCCAACACCCACTGAACAGACAGACAGACTGGAAATCAGTGGTCATGCTGACAGGGCACAAAAATACTTGCACAAATTTGCTGACTTAATCCTTTTTTTTTTTTTGGTGCTGGAGATTTACCTTGTGCATGCAAAGCACAAACTCTATCACTGAGCTAGACCCCCAGCCCCTTACTAATCTTAATTACCAGCAGACAGCTGAAGAGGATAAGTCTAAACATTTTACACCACATCACTGCATGAAGTCTTTAGGTGTTTCACAACTCACTTAGGTATAATTTCTAATTTATACTGTTGATAAAGCTCATGCATGCTACTTTTTTGTCAACTGGTAAACAAAAGTTCAGCAGTGGTGCAGATGGTGGAAATTTAAAAGTCCTGAATAAATGCTGAATCTGTAAATCTCAAGCAAGGTAAATCTAGACCATTTTGCACACGTCTGCATATTAGTTTTTACTCATCTGTCCACAATTTTCAAAATCAAGATCAAGACCCAGGAAACATGTATTAAAGCCGACAAAAATGCCCTGTAGACTGCAAACTACAGATGTGAAATATCACAGAAATACTTTCCCTCCTGTCGTGATGAATGCCTGACCTAAAATATGAGCAGGGACAGAAACCAATCTGTATCTAAAGTCCTTTGGTCATGAAAGCAAACAGTTCAGCTCTCAAGTATGTAACTCTACCCCATTTTGGCATCTGCCTTCCTATTATAGCATTCAAAGTGCTTCATAACCATTCCTGTTTACAGTGGTATGGACTGAGTATCTCTTATCTGAAGTGCTTGGGACCAGAGTGTTTCAGATTTTGGAGTTCCGTTCCCGCTTTGGTTTTTGGTTTTGTTTTGAGACAGGGACTTGCTATGTAGCCCAGGCTGGGCTTGAACTCACAGCAATGCTCCTGCCTCAGCCTCCCAAGTGCTGGGATTACAGGTGTGCACCACTACACCTGGCAAGTTTTTTCCATTTTGGAATATTCACATAGACCACTGGTTGAGTGTCCCTAATGTAAAAATCCCAAATGCTCCCAGACTAGGGTACTCAGCCTATACTCTGCACAACTTCTGGAGCCGGGAAACCATCCCAATTTTGATCTAAACACTTACATTGCACCCATTTCCTTCCATCAGAGTCCCACATCCTCCCTGGTAGACAAGAGGTTTATAGAACCATCACTAACAAGGTACTGACCACAGCTCTCTCTGCCATCTGGCAACAGCTACAACCAGGAAGCGAGGGCATCACTGCACCAGCCCTCCAGGTGGCACTGAGGAACATCTGCAAGTTGAACACTCTTAACTTGGGGTCCTTTATTATGCCTTTTTTCCAAAAATATGCAGTTCAATATAGACTTTTTTTTTTTTTGGTACCAGGGATCGAACTCGGGTCCTTGAGCTTGCAAGGCAAGTGACGGAACCACTGAGCTAAATCCCCAGCCCTATATAGACTTTTCATGGCTGACTCTAAACAGCTGTACCTGGCACCAACTTGTATACGGCTCACAGTGATGTCGGAGCTGTGAGATGCTTTCTTCAAGCTGAGTCCTTGGCTCCTCCATGTATTTAGGCTGACCCTCAGGAACTGAGTAGAGTGAGAGCTGTACACATTAAAACAAAGACAAGAAAGCACAGACAGTGAGGCAATCACATAATAAATGATCAAGTTTGTAGTTAGATTTTGAATAGTTCATAAATTACAGTGACCTGAAAGGTAACATGGGATCTATGACTATATTTCAGACAATCTTTGTATTTTGCTCTTTTTTTTTTTTGGTACCGGGCATCAAACTCAGGACCTTGCGCTTGCAAGGCAGGCAGTAGAACCACTGAGCTAAATCCCCAGCCCTGTCTTTTGCTCCCTTAATCAATAAGGACAAGGCACCAGGTGTGGTAATGGTACATGCCTATAATCCCAGCTACTAGAGAGCCTGAGGCAGGAGGATCGCAAGGTCAAGGTCAGCCCAGGCAACTTAGTGAGACCCTGTCTCAAAAATTTTAAAAAATAAAAAGGGCTGGGACATAGCTCAGCGGTAGAGTACTTGCCTCGCATGTGTGAGGCCTTCTAGTAGGGGAAAAAATCCAAGAAAAAGAGTAAGGGCAAGGCCAAGAGGGCAGAGCTATAAGGGTGTCCCATTTTCTCCCCATCCGCTGCTGGCAAACAAGCCAGAGCCCTTTATCCCTTTTATATGGTGGTATCTGGTATTCCACCTCAGATTTAGTTTGGAAAATAGATTCTAGGACTCCAAAGTATGGGTAGGTGAGTTTCAAAATTTTGAAGGGCCAGGTGTGGTGACTCACACCTATAGTCCCAGCATTCAGGAGGCTGAGCCAGGAGGATCACCACAAATTTGAGGCCAGCCTGGGCTACTTGGCGAGTTCAAGGTCAGCCTGAACTACACAGGGAGACCCTGCCTCAAAAACCAGAATCAAACATAAAAATGTGAGAGTAGCTAAAGAATAACAAGTTATGCAGTTCATGTGATGATCAATGTGGTGCTGATCAAAGTAGGAGAGCAAAAACTTCCCATGGCCTCTCCTGGCTGCCTTTGTCACCCATAATGCCACTGTCCCAAGGGCTGAGAAGAGTAAAGGGCAAAGATAATTAGCTGCAGGCAAACACAGTTCAAATAACTCCACCTGAAACTGAAGGTAGCTCTGTATATCACTTTATTCAAAAGCAAACAGGGACAGAGATTTAGCTCAGTGGTGTTGCACCTGCCTGGCAAGCAGAAGGTCTGGAGTTCGATCCCTGGTACCACAAAAAAAAAAAGCAAAGAAATCAAATATCCAAATAATCAGTGGGAAGCACAGGCAAAAAAAAATGTAAGTAATGGAGAGATTTGTTTTATTTATTTAATGTGTACTAAGTTTCTATTTATGAGCCTCTAACCCAGCCAAGAAGCAGTGAGAATCCAAGTCTCCAATTTACTTGAGAGAGAAAAATATGAATATTTTCTTATCTTGATAAGTAGTCCAGAACCAGGCAGGCCAGTAAGAATACTGATTTGTACTTAAAATCTGCTCGAACATGGCAGGTACTCCACTAAAAATCTATAAAATATTACTTAATTATGCCCTCAGTTAAAACCATTAAAAGAACTCATCTGCTGAAAAAGCCATTGTTTACTAACTTCCCCAAAGAAAATAAACTGTATATAAAGAAATATATTTCCTCCTTTTAAATATCTTCTAATTGGTTTGGGAATGAAGCTTATCATGTGGCAAGGCCTTGGGCTCCATCCCCAGAACTGAGGTGGGAGATTAGGGCATGGTGAACTGGCAGGGCAAGTGGGCATGGCTTGTCAATCACAGAGATCCAGGACACAGGTGCAGAACACAGTTCCCAGCCCTACACTTGGGGCCAATCAGAAAGTGCTGTCCTTCCACCACCTGCCTCGCAAGCGCAAGGACTCGAGTTCGATCCCCAGTACCACAAAAAAAAAAAAAAAAAAGAGAGAGAGAAAGTGCTGTCTTCAATTCTTCTAGCATGAAATCAAGCAGGGTTTTGATAGGATGGTCTAGAGCTGACGTCAGCCTGGAGACTGGGGGATAGGAAAGACCTTGGCCATTAACCTCATGGCCACTGTGAGCTCTCTAGTGTCTCACTGGCACTCTGCAGGGGTCCTTCTTTTCCTACCTTTAGTTGGCCCAACTCACTCTGCAGAGGTTACTTCTTTTCCTACCTGTAATAAAGGTAAAACCTTGCTACCTTTTTCACCTGTCTTGTCCAAGTCTTTGTTCGGGACACTAAGAACCTAGAAGGAATCCCTGGAAAGAATTTACAAGACCCCAGAACCTGGTAACGATATCACAAAAATAAAAAATAAAAATAAATATCTTTTATCTTCCTGATCTGCAATTTATAAAAACTCCCCTGCAGTAATTAAGTCAGGTGTTCACAACACATCACCACATGGACAGTGTGTCACCTCATCAATCTTCATGGAGTTTTTGCGAGGCCAATCCTTTTTTGGTGCAGCATAGACTCTGAAGGTGAGCAGGCTCAGGCTGGCCAGGCCCACAGACTTCTGAAGTACCTGAAATGCAGAAGTAAGCTTAAGTCTTCCCTCCAAGCTTCACAACAAGTGTGTATACATTTTTCTCAATAGCCCATGGAATTCTTCCAAAGTAGACCACATCTTAGGCCATACAGCATGCTCACATAAATACAAAATAATAATCCCCTGCACACTATTGGATCATAGCGAAATCAACAGCAAAGGAAGCCACAGAAACTACACAAGCACATAGAGATTAAATAATATATTATTGAAACATCAATGAACCACAGGGGAAATCAGGGAAGAAATAAAGAAAAGTTCTAGAATCAATTGACAATGGAAGCACAACATATCAAAACCTATGGGTCTCAATGAAATCAACTCTAAGAGGGAAGGTCATAACTATAAATGTGCACATAAACACAGAAGGATCCCAAATAGGTAACCTAGCCAGGGATGTAGCTCAGCAGCACAGCACCTGCCTGGCAAAGCATGCGGACCTCAGTTCGATTCTGGGTACCAAACAAACAAACAAACCAACCACCCAAATAGGTAACTTAATGATAGACAAACAATTCAAATCTGAAACTAATAGGAGGCAAGAAATCATAAAAATCAGAGAGGAAATTAATGAAATTGAGACTAAAAAAATACAAAGGATCAATGAATCAAAGAGTTGGTTCTTTGAAAGATTGGGAAGGGGATCTGAGGATTGAGGAGATAGGAAGCAGGGGAGGGGAAGGGGAAGTAAAAAGGATCAAGATGCAGTAGAGGGGGGTTAGCTCAATAGTGCCACTGCCAAACACAAGGTCCCGAGTTCGATCCCTGGTACCAAAAAAAAAAAACAAGAAAAAAAGAAAGAAAGATGCAGTATGTCTGTGTACCAGTTCCCCAGCTGAATGTATTTACTATGCATCACAAATTAAAATTTCAGGTCAACTTTATCTTAATTTCCAGAAGACAATGGTTGTTAAATTTTTCTAGCTATCTCTTCATGTAAAAAATATATATATACACATATGGCTGAATAAATAGATATCAGTATCTATCTATCGATCAATAGATATCAGTATCTATATCTATATATATATTTAAAAATTTTTGGACATGTCCAAACCCAACTTATCATCTTTCCCTCAGACCTGCCCCTCTTTCTCTACTTCTCTCTCAGGAATGGTGACAACTTCATCAGAATCTCTGAGGTCACTTAAAATCTACTCTCAGCAACTTTCAATACAATGCATGGTTATTATCTATAATCACTAGGTTGCACAATCGATCTCTTGAACTATTCCTCCTGTCTAACTGGAAATTTCTTTTTTTTTTTTTTTTTGGTATTTTGAGACAGGGTCTCGAGATGTAGTCTGGGCTGCCCTTGAACTCTAAGCGATCCTCCCAATGCTAGGATTATAGGTGTGGGCCACCACACCTGGCTGACAAAATTTCTACCATTTGACCACTATCTCCTCAATCCCCACCCCATCCCCTAGGAACCACCATTCTATTATCTGTTTCTAGGAGTTCCATACAAATGATGAGCATGTGCAGTGATGCACATATTAATTACCACAATTTAGCTACTCCACGATGTATATATTTTCTCTAACCTTTATTTTTCTGCAGGACTGGGGAATCAAACTCAGGACCTCGTGCATGCTAGACATGCACTCTACCACTGAGCCACATCCCCAGCCCAAAAATGTTTTGTACACAATAAATGTGTATCATTTTTATTTGCCCATTTAACTTATCAACAAAAGGAGAAACTGAGGTCATCTTCACCACCACCCCCTCCTGTCAGGCACTCTGTTGTGTTAACTGTGCCTTTAACAATCCCAATTCTACTTGGTGCTCCTTGGGTCCTCGTTTCTTTCGTGCATCCTTTTAGTGGCGCCTAACTGGTCACCCAGCCCTCCGAGCATTCAAACCAGCACATAAGAAAGAGTGATCTTTCTGAACTACAGCCCCGACTATGTTCTAGCCTTGTTGGAGCTCTGCTGGAGTTTACTACCTAGCACTCTTATGTGAAGCAAAGGTCTGTCATGCCCCTGCCACTGTCTCTAACCTCCTCTGTTTCTCTGCCCTTGCCCAAAAATGTCAGTTCCCATAATCACTCCTGCTGCGCCCCAGCTTCATGGAGCCACACGGGCTGAGTCCTCTGTCTACAATGTCCTACACATTGCTGTCTTTCCGCACAACTGTGTAAGAGCAGGGTTCATTCACGCTTCTACTTCACCATTCATTTCTGTCTATCAAGTTCTCCCTCCCAGCCTGGAATCCCTTCAGGCCGAGGCTATCTTCCTTGGGTACCTACTGCTAGGGCTCTGCTGGCACATAAGAGACACTTGATAACTGCTCGCTGCCTGCTCCAGCCAGACCCAGGATATGGACTGACAGGGAAAAAAGGGATCTTCTTCTGTCTGGTTAGGAATGATTTAACCTCATCAAAATCATATTACTGAAATTTACAGTGCTTATAATGTGAAAGATTAGGCTAATTTAGATACTATGCTGGATAAAATATATCAAAACATGTCTTTAAAAGCATGCCTAAGCCAGACGTGGTGGGGCACACCTGTAATCTGAGCACTGGGGAGCCTGAGGCAGGAGAATCTCAGCGAGGTCTAGGCCAGCCTGGGCTACATAGTGAGTTCAAAGCCAGCCTGAACTACATACCAAGGGACTGTCTCAAAAATAAAATAAATCAATTCACAGTTTAATCAATTCATAGCTCCCTTACACCCCAAACCTCCTCCTACGGCTCTTTCAAAGAAGCCAGGCCATCTGAGCTGAGTTACCGGGAAGCCCCTCCCTGAGGCCCAGGCCCAGGGCACCTAGGGGCACTGGTATCTAGAGGCCTGTCATCATTGCTCTTTGCCCTGTAGATCTGCACCTGCACCTGCGCTGTGGGAACTGCAACTTTCCACTGAGCTGGGCTGGCCCTACCACAGGACTTTGTCCAGGGACTTTGTCTCCAATGCCTCCTATATCTACTCTAGCCAGTGCCCCCTCTTCACTCCAGTCCAGTGTGTGAACCTCTGACCTCTAGGCTGCTTGTGTTCACAGAGCCTTATCTCTATCCTTGTTCCACAAACTGCCCCATTAACCTTTCTCATCCTCAACTGCTGGTCTCAATCCTTGATCTGCTCCATGGTTAACACAGTTCAGTTTTTCCTCATGGTCCACCTTTTTTTTTTCCTCTGCTCTCCACTTTATATTCTCCCGGCCTTCCACCTGCCTCCTCACCCCTCCTCCCCATGTCGGGATTTGAACCCAGGGCCTGGCAAGCTAGGCAGGACCTATCTATCTATTTATTTATTTTGAGACAGGGTCTTGAAATCACTATGTAGCCCAGGCTAGTCTCAAACTCTCAGCAATCCTCCTGCCTCAGCCACCTGAGTGCTGCGATTACAGCCATGCACCACCATGCCCAGCTTAGAATTTCATTTCAGAAACAAGTATTTATTGCATACCTACTCCATGCCAGGCATGCTACATGGGTATGGTCCCTGCCCATAGAGAATTTACAAGCAGCTTCTGAGTTTCACACAAAGCCTCAGCCCATTAGTATTCTAAACAAGGCTGGGCAGAAAACAGCTTGTCCTTGAAGCCCAGCAGCAAGGGGAAATTCCTGGACACAGCTAGCTGAGCTATGAATCCAGGGAGGCCATAAACACTCAGATCATAGTGGGTACCCAGAAGGCTAAACTATCTTTGCTTTGCAAGTAAAAGAGCACTGCCAAAAGTTCTGTAGCTCACTGATCCTAATCTGATTGTCCCAGAAAAACTGCTTTAAAGTCAAAAAAACTCAAGCTAAATAAGATACTCCCAGAATTATCCCAAGACTCACATGAATGGTGGCGCTCCCGTCCCTGACACCTCACTTTGTCAGGTCTATAGAGTATTCAGTGTATGCTCTCTCCCATTTTTGAGGGTGTCCCTTTATTCTCCCACAATTATATACCTACTATCTTATTAGTTTTCATTTAAAATACGGACCATCTTGGGCCGGGGATTCAGCTCAGTGGCACCGCACCTGCCTTGCAAGCACAAGGTCCTGAGTTTGATCCCTGGTACAAAAAAAAAAAAAAATTGAAAAAAAATCGCTTCTCGGCCTTTTGGCTAAGATCAAGTGTAAAATATGGACCATCGCTTGGCCCCCTTTCTCTTTGACAACGATCTATCTCCCTACTTCCTATTATCTATCTTTTCTTTTGTTCTTTATTTTTACTCTGGGTTTCTCATTAAGAAATCATGCGATACTTAAGCTTATGTGTCTGAGTTACTTCACTTAACATTATGGTCCCAAGGTGCATTCGTTGTCCGGAAAATGACTCGTTTATCCTTCTTCATGGCACAGTATACCCTATTGGGTGTAAATACATTTTCTTTATCCATTCATCTGTTGATGGACATATGGGCTTCTTCCAAGATTTAGCTATTGTGAATTGTGCTGCTATAAATAGGGGATTAAAGAAATGGAGAGAAGGGGAGAAGAACATGAAAAAAAAGATTAAGGTGTGTTAGGTACATGGACCAGCTCCACACAAGGAATGCAATCATTATGTACTGCAAACATGGACTAATAAATAAGATAACAAATAAAACATGGACCAGTTTCCTTTTCGATGAAAGGCCTTGGCACACAGAGGTTTCTCAATCACCTGGCGAGCATTTTGGAAGCCCAGATCTCAGCACCTTCCCTCTGAGTGTCTAACTCAGGAAATGTAAGAAGGGCACAAGAATCTGTTCCCAGAATAAGGCAAGCTTGGAAAATCACTGTGCCACGAGCAGATGCATAGGCAACAGTTACTCAAGTTGGTATAAATACTCAAACACACTTATTTTAAAGATCATTTTAAAGAAAGAAATGAAAATTGTCCAAAACATAAAAACAAAGAGTGTGACTAGCCACCCACTAGAGAAAACTATGAGATTTATTTACATTCAAGAAAATCTGTCCTGAGTCGGGTATAGTGGTGCATGCCTGTGATCCCACTTGGGAGGCTGAGGCAGGAGGATCGCTGCAAGTTCAA